AATGCTGAAATTGATAAAACACCTTTCTGCAATGGATGAAAATAGCTGCACTAATAAACTCCAGAAACAATGAGAAGAGTTTAGCAGAAGATGTCTGTTCTGACTGAATGATTGCTTTTTCCTCTCTGAGTTTCAAGAGCAAAAACTTTCCTCTGCTGTCTCCCAACTGACTGACAAAAATCTTTTAACATGTTCTGTTGATCAGCATCAAGCAGTCAGCTTCATGCTCCTTCATCGGTCTGCCCCTGCTCCATAGACCCCATAAGAGGATTAACCTCGCTGGAAGTGACAGAGTTTTGCAATCAGGGTCCTAATTTTTTCGCTGTTTGCTTCAATGCACAGAGGCTTAGGTCTTAATGGGGATTTCTCATAGAGACTGACTGGAAGTGTCCTGCAGCACCAGAGCAGAGGGGAGATCACATCCATGAGCAGGCTTAACAGCTTATTAATGTGCAACATACCAATGAAATTAAGCCCAATTCACTACACATTTAATGCAGTTTAATGACTACCTTTATGAAGTCTAACAATGCATATTTGATCAAAGATTTTATGATATCCTAACGGGGAGGGTAAGTATCTGTATTATTCAACTGTATATCACCTCTGCTGCAAACACATATATTATCCTAATACACAAACACATAAAACCTTAGCAGTTAAAATGCTGCAGTAAAAAAAAAAAACAGCAGCAAGTTAAGGAAAGCTGCAAACCAGTTCTAAATAAAATAATTGCTCCTGACCCCTATGGGGACACTTTAACCAACATATGGGACCAGACTCTTGGGAACACATGCAATAGATGCTCAGAAAGATAAAGGGTCTGTCTACAATATGTAAAATCATTAAAATCTCTTAAGCCAAAGTAGAACAACATCAGTGGCCACTATGATAAGTGCTGTCTAAAAAATGCTGAGAGCAACAGTTGTTTTCAGTAGGCCGGGATGTCTGCTCAACTCTCACCTCAGTTTATTCACATTTTTCCTAATGATGTTGCCCACCCACATGACCTCAATGTGAAAACAAGAAACCTTAAAGGCTGGACACCATCATGGTAAGCTTAATGCCATGCCATTAGGAACTAATAACCATCATTTCATCCTAACTTTCTTATTATCCGTCCTAAATGAGGCTTGATAAGAAATGTGTTAAGTGACGGAAAACTCCACTTGTTTATAAGGAAGACTGATTTGCTCTCTGTGGCTGTGTGTTGCCTTTGCTACTGGATGGGGTAGCCCCAGTGACTTAGCCCCTCAACACCTGTGTTTACTTTGGGGCCTCGGCCCCTGTGACCCAGCAGCAATCCTTCACTCACTCACAAGATGAAGTGAGGTTTTGGCCTCCAAATATGTGCCACCCCTGCATTTTTTACCACTGTGTGATTCCTCTAACACTCTCACAATGAGGCTAAGGCCAGACATAAAGTATAAATTACAAAATTTGGGGAAATGTCATGATTCAAGCATACGTCTCCTTTCCTTTCATCAGGCTAAATTATGTGTTTCGGTGTTTTAAATGAAACTTTTGGAACATCATGAATTGGAAATGAATAGATATTTGGACATCAGTGAAGACAAAGCTTGTTGTTTACTGATGTCTTAATATCTCAGTTTTTTTATGTTTGGATCCCAGAGCCTTTAAAAGTTAAAATCAACCTTTTTTTTTAAATACCATTTTAGGACAATCAATTATGCCCATAATTCCATTTTTCTTTTTGGTTTATGTCATGGCTTCATGCTATTTTTGCATTGTCATTTTTTTCCAGTTGACATTTTGAATTTTCAAAGTGTTTATCATTTCCTTTTGATGTTTCTTTCAAATAAAAGTCACCTCAACACGATAGAGGCATATCAGCCCCAATGATCTGGGACTATGTTGTTCACATCTTGGCCTCTACTGTCTCACATGGTAAACTGGCTTCAAGGAGCTTGTCAACAAACACCAGGTGGAAGAGCCTCGAGGAGGTCTCCTCCACATGGGCCCACCACCTGTGGAGAGGGACATTAGGGTTGGGTGCTGTGTAAACTGGGGGGCAGATGAGGATGGGGCACTGGACCTGCTATTCTCAGTGTTACAGTCTGGCTTTTCAGACATGAAATTCCTCTTCCCTGGCAAGAAAGGGGCAGGAGGGAACAGAATTTGACTCACTTCCACCAGTTCGGGGCTCGGGATTGGGTTTCTTCTAATCTGGAGTTACCCACTAAGAGAGGTGTTGGATGTTACTATTGAGCACCTCAGTGTTGTTGTTCGCACTGGGAGTGAGAGTCATATCTTTGGCTACACAGAAACAGTTGACTGTACAGATGAAAGCACCCACAGCCTGAGGAGCTATAAAGGCTGATTTATACTTCGAAACTAGGTCATCTGCGAGGTGTCGCAGTGAACAAAAAGACGTCCCCGCCCCCTTTCCCCAGACACTCTGCTGCACCTCTCCCAAATTGCAGGTGACTGCAGACAGGAGGCCGGCTTGTTTTGTTTGTATGACTGCCATTGCGGAAATGACTGGTGAAGATCGACGAGCTAGAAGAGCGAGGTGTGCAAAAACGCTGGGACCCTTTTTCCTCTTAGATCCCTGCTCTTTTTCGCTGTCATGTCCCTCCGTTGTCAGACAAACTTGCCCCAACTTCCTCACCGCCTCGGCCGTATCTAGACCCACAGCGTATAGCGCAGGCCACGCTTCAATATTGAGCATAAATCAAAAATGTCTGCGTCAAGCTCACTGCGAGGAGTATATAACCAGCCCTTAACAGGCATTGTAATACCTACAGTATGCCCAGTCTATGTTGACAGTGGTAATGCTGCCACAAAAGTAAAGAATTTTCAATAGTAAAAAAAAAAAAAAAAAAATGCTTAAGTCAGAAAAGTGTAGCTTTCAATAAACGGAATAGTTTTTTAAACGTGGGACAACCAAGATGCGAGGGACAACCCTTTTTTGTAACTCATTTCTATGTTTTTGCTTTACTTTTCACTCCCCTTGTATCAGATTTAAAAGTAACTCTGGCAAACTTCACTTAAAGTTCAGTTATGAAGTGTTTGTCAGTCTTTGTTCCTGTTGTTTTTTCGTTAAACATTTAATTATATTTTTTAAAAATCTTTTACCTGTTCAGTATTTCGAGCAGGTTGGTAATAATGTCTGGCACTGCCCCAGCTCTGTAACAGTAGCTATGTCCCCAATATCCATATCCATAAATTGTACAAATTGTAGATACAAGAATAAATTCCTCATGTTGCTCTTTAAAAGGTTACGTTTTGATGTGGTGGTTTTTTTTTCCAATCATATCAAAACTCTTATATTTCTCACAGTTTTGTGGGATAGGGGTACGGAAGGGGAAAATGCAGGACTGTCCAGCTCAAATCTTGACATCTGGTCACCCTATATTTAGGTGAACACTCTACAAACATGGCTGTTTTTAACTGGTTTGAGGTGTCAATGAGAGTGGCTTCAAACTTCCCAATCTAGAAGCAGGTTTTAAATGCTCTTGGTTGTGCTTTGTCTCTATCTCAACAAGAGGCTTGGTGGATATTCTCTAACAAGTGTTGTGTGAATAGAGTGTTTGTCACTTTGATATATTAGGGAATTTTATATGGGAATTCCTATACAAGGTATATGGATACCTTGGTGTTCACTTAGACAACAAACTTGTCTGTTGACACAACTGTGAGGTCACTTCAATAAGGGACAGAGAGACTCTACTTTTTAAGGAAACTTATGTCTGTTGCAGAAGGGTGCTGCATATCTCCGATTAGTTTTTTGAGAGACTGATCCCTTTATCTGCTTGGATAACAGCAACAGAGTTAATGACCTAAAGAAAAGCTCAACAACCTAATAAAGAGGGCTGTCTCCAATCTAGAAACTCTTCTCAAACCTCAGTAGGTGATTTCACACATAATTCTATCCTCTTCAGGAGACTATTAAACAACAACAAAATTGCCCATGAAATACTAAAACATTTCATTTCCTGTTTAGATTAATAAAGTGTTTTTTTAATTTGGCTAGCAAGAGGGAAGGCTTTGACTGTTGTCAGTCATAACGCTATATCATCCAGCTGAAGCCCTGATTACTGTATGGCTGCTGCCCTTCTTCAATAAAAGGAGTAACTAAGTAGTTTAGGCACATCTCATTACAAAGTTTCCCTTATGCCTCATTTCAGCTTTTTTTTTTATTGTATTTTTTGCATGAAACTCTGTCCAGCAGTTCATGGGTCATAAACCTTGCATTGATCTTTTTAGTGAAATACCACCTTAAAGCTATCATGGAGCCAAATGCTTGAGAAAAATGTCTTCACCATATTAACATAACTGTACAGTTTGCAAACACTTCCTGATCCTTTTTTCTTTCTTATATTTCGGACTTGTGCACTTATGCTTTAACATAGTAAATGACCTTTGTTTTTACCTTTTTTCTTCACTCTTGACCAGTGCTGAGAAATCATCAGGAACCTGTTTACAGCCATGAACATGTCTGCTTGCTGTGAATCTGATGAATGTTGTGTACTGTCCACCATGGCAGCATGCCAGAGTTCTGTTGCTCGTACTGCAGTGTGAACTGTTCAAATAAGTGCCAGTGTTTTTTCAGGTGTGAATGCTTTAGTGTCCGCCAAAATCCCTGTTTCTATGGAGACAGTTTGAACTAGGTGTAGAAAACGGTCACATAGTCAAGTGGTCTGTAGTGTTAGATTTATAATACTGTTGATAAGAAAATTATAATAAAACTTTAACTGGAAAATTGTATTTTGTGTTGAGAGTTTAACCGCTTCCTATTAAGATGCATGTAGTTAACAAAGTTAGACAGGAAAATCATTTTCACTTAAAACATTTAGAGGGACAATATTTTTTGTGACATTTAGTTGATTAATGAGGTTTGAACAGAGGTAGAGCAGAGAACTTTGAGGGTTTTAAAATGTGAAAAAATCCCATAAATATAGAACCTGTATATCTTCATGTAACATTTTCTACGTTTATAGAAACATTTCAAGCCGTTCAAGTGTTGTCTTTTCCAGGACACTTGCAAGTGCAGGAAAAGAGCTCAATGATAACTTCCTGAAGGCCCTGGTAGAGCGAGAAGAGGCCAACCGCAGTGGGAAAATGACTGTGAGTACATTATTACAGCACTCCAATTGCTACGTAATGGGATTCCCCTCAAATATTTCTGCAATTCCATTAGGATGGAAACAAAATCCATACTGTGTCAAGCTGAATGGAAAGGACCCTTCCTCCCCGTTCCAGTTCCTCCCTAAAACCACCAGAGCTAGCTGCCGGCCCCTTTCCGTACCATAAAACCCCGTCACTGAAACTACCTTGTTCTCCGATTAAACCAGCAGGGTAGATAAAAAAAACATAAAATAAATAATTATAAATAATTATTTATAAAATGAAGGTACTTTCTAGAAATATCGAGAAAAATACTAAAACAGTTTTGTGAAAAAAAGATACAAATACATATCTAAGTTTATTAATATAAAATATATCTCTTGCTCTTTAAAAAAGTGCTAAAATAAAAACTTTTTAATTGTTCTTCAAAAATAAAAATGGGGTGCTTTTCTTTAATCATGGCATTTAAAAAAAAATGCAATTCTTAAAAAGTGAGCTTTTATTTCATAATCGTGTTTTTACCCTATTGCCTTTTTATTCTAGAATCCTATTTTTAATGATTTAATAGGGCAAACAAGGGAAACAGGGTGGGGCCAGATACAAAACAGGCTTATATTGGAAGACTACTTGACTTTCGCTCTTGAAGACGTTTCGACACCTATCTTGGAGTCTTTGTCATTTCTTTATGCTGGCACCACAGCGGTGGGGCCATTATTTCATTGGCTGCTACTTTACCCAGACAGTAGCAATCCCACATGAAATGATCTATTGCTACTTGGAGCTTTATTAAGTTCAAAGAGCCCAAAGCAGAAATAGCAGAGGAAGTTTGTTTTTTCCCCCCGAGGGCTGCTTGACAGTGCAATTCATCCTCTTGTACACTAGCCTCTAATATAGAGCTAAACCGAAACTGCAGATCAGATTAACCTGAAAACACAGGCCTACTGCACAACAAAATGCACAGTGCCAATGCAGACTGACAATATCTCAGGTCCTTCATTTAAAATGGGAAATTCCAAGCAATTGCGCTAGAAAGATCTGGCAAAAGGCCTCCTGTCTGTTTCCTGCAGTCCTCTTACAAAGTGTGCCTTTCTTTTCTCTTTAGTTTTTGTTTTTAAAAAGTAAAAAAACAACTGCATGATCACTTTATGAAATAAGTAATGGCTTGAGATGTTAAACTTTTCCAGAGTGGAAGCAAAGCCAAGGAGCTTTAATCTAAGTTAACAAAGAGACAATAAATAGCCTTTATAGCAGCTATTCAACAACCAAACCTGACTTTCAAAGCTATAACCTAATGCATGTGTGTTTTCCTGGCATTTTTCAAATTTGAATTAAAGACTATTATGCTGTTTTACAAAAAGCTTTTGACAGACTGGTGCTAGCTTAGCCAGTTCAAGGTAACAAACACTGCAGAAGCAAGAAAGACCCTTTATTCCCTGGTCCATAAATAAATTAACTGACAAGCCTTTGAATGTTTCTTACATACAAAGTGTGTATATATATATATATATATATATATATATATATATATATATATATATATATATATATATATATATATATATATATATATTATTTTTTTCCCCAGCGTTTTATAGTCAATGAACTGTCACAAATACAGAGCACTGAAATGAACTCTCTGCATTCAACCCATCCCTTGAGGAGCAGTGGGCTGCCATTGTGTGGCACCCGGGGAGCAGTGTGGGGTTAAGGGTCTTTGCTCAGCGACCCAGAGTGAAGGCTGTGGCATTGGGGCTTAAATTCAGAACCTCTGGATTCCAAGCACAATGCCTTAACCACTAGGACACCTCGTTGCTATGTACATATTTTTAAACTTCTCTCTAGGATTACTTTCAACCACTATAAGCGATCCACCTCCTGACATGCCTCAGAAAGTTAACAAATATGCTAACATAATTTTCATAATGTCAAAAAGGATTTCTGATTCTGTTTTTTCTTTAAGATGACAACTTCAGAGATCCATAGCCAAATGTGCTCTCTCTATAAGCCATTAAAGACTAAACATTTAACAATCTCCATTGATTATCTCTATCTCTCTCAGCACATCATCTAAATCAGACAAAAGCTGTTGCCATGGGAAACGGCGCCTGCAGCCCACAACGTATTTCAAGATCAGATTTCCTTTTTAGCCCCATATTTGTTTTGTTCTCAATTTTGCTTTGAACTTAATACTTGGTTATATTATGTAAACTGAGTGATCTGGAGTCATATACTAAATATATTTTAGAATAGCTTTTAGCTTTATATTTACTTCATGTAGGCTATCTGTCTTTTACCTGCTCTAATATTGTATTTAACTGCCTGCAACTCCACATTAATGTCTCTTAATCTAAATTAAATTTGGATATCACTTTTACGTTATTTGTATCATTTCTTTTGCAGGATCTTGTGTACAATGCAAAGACTGCCATACATTTTAGAGAAATAACTGGAATTAGTTACAACAGCTATGAGGCAGAATTTATAGATTTTCAGGAGTGTCTCGGCGTCTCTGATTCAGGTTTTGGTTTGGTTTAGGATGTACAGTATTTCAATACATAATATGATTCAATAACACAGAGGGGCGTTTTATTATGTTTTTGTTGAAGCACATTTGATTATTCCCTGTCTACTTTTTTATTGTAATCTGACAATAAAAAATCATAAACACAGTTGAACATTTGTTAGGGTTGAATTTTTTATAAAAAAAAAAAGCAAAGTTGGGGTGTGCTTTTATGACCCATTCCCCTCTCTTGTACCTCCTTTGCGGTTAGCCGACTGTACAAAAAAAACAAAAAAAAAACATAATTTTTATAATTGAAAACAAAACAATACTGGAAAGGAGAAAGGTTGCATAACTCAACTGAATGCATTCGATGAAATCTTCTCAGATTGCTGTTTTACTGCATATATAACCAATACTCTTTCCCATAAACGAAAAGATTTGTGCATTAGGACATTTTTATGGTTCAGCTTCAGTTTACAAAGATTGATCTTGCTGAAGCTGTTCTGAGTCAGTTTGGTGTATAAAACTATGTATCTGTATTTTGGCCCCGAACCTTAAAAGCGAAAACACTTTTCCAAAAAAATGCATGAAAGTTGATCTAAGTTAAAGGCTAGGAAATAGTTAATAAGGTTAGCTTGAATAGCAATCATAAAGCTCAGTTTATGAAAGGTTTTAGAGGAGACTTGCATGACTGAGTTGATGTAACAAGCTCTCATTCACTCATTGAATGTAGGAGCTTAATCTCTAAAACAGGGATTTATTTTAATGTGCAGGAATTATGTGGTCCTGATCGGCCCACACCAAAGCCTTCATCAACATGGCACTGCAAACAGTAACAAAATTAGCTTTTAAACTGGCTTGAAAACTCTTCATGAAGTAATCCCAACTCAAAGTTGCTCTCCCTGAATTAGAAATGTTACATCAACTTACCTTCAATTGCAATGTTCTAACATGACAGTACTGGTAAATTACTCCCATTAGGTAGGATAAAAAAAAGTTTTTTTCTGCCAAGTGAAAAAGCTACTGGGCCAACCAATAAAGCGGAATGTCATGGTTTTGGTTCTGTTAAAGTTTTATCTCTGAGTGTTCATTGGTCTTATTTTCATTTTTGTGTTCTAGTTACTTTTGATTTTATTTCACTTCTTAGATATTTCTTGTTTGCCCTCCTGTGTCAGTCTCCTTTTCCCTAGCTCCCTTCTTGCCTCCTCTGTTCACACCTGCTCCCAATCTACTAATTAGCCTGGTCTTTGTTTCTTTGTCCCATGTATTGTCCTCCTGTTCAGTCACTCTTTGCTTGTTTGACGTCATTTCTTTGCCCCCTTTTTGTAAGTATTCCTGGTTCTCAGTTTTTGTGTATTTCTGTGGATTTAAAGGGATAGTTCGGGATTTTTGACATGAATCTGTATGGCATCCCCATCACCAGTGTCATGCAATCACACTGACTTACCCCTGGCAGCATCCTGTGAGCAGAGTTCTCGTCCAGCTTTGGTCAAGCCGAAAGTAGTCCGGCAGGTTTGCTAGACCCAACGAAATAAAACGTTTCTCTTCCCAAAACATTATGTGTTCAAAAGAGCGATATTTTTGCATCCCAAAAACATTGTAGTGGAAAAAGTCACACGTCGTTATCACTTGGTCCTATTTTCTCTCTGTTCGTATCAGTGCGCGCCGTCATTCTGACAGCTAGGGCCTACTAACCTGACAACAGCCAGATGCATGTCTCGCTCCGCCTAGCTCCTAGCTAGGCGGAGCGAGACATGCATCTGGCTGTTGTTGAGCTCGCTGACACTGGTGATGCATGACACTGGTGATGGGGATGCCATACAGATTCATGTCAAAAATCCCGAACTATCCCTTTAAGTTTTGGATTTTTGCTTCTGTTGCACTTTTGTTATTAAACCTTTAAGTAACCACCTCAAGCTTTTGTTTCTGCATTTGGGTTATGTCAAACCCCCAACCCATTGTGACACAGATTTTTTTTTTAATATAAATTATGTTACAAGCTACTGATAATATAATATATAAATATTACATCATGGCAATACTAATGCATGCTAACATGTTGCACTTCAATTTATACATAAAAAATATATATATTCTTACTTTTAATGGGTAAGACTCTGGATAATGTGTCCCATCATCAATGTCCAGCTCGCATTTCTGTGATGGCACCTAATGTCCAGAGTTGTGACATTTCTCACTCCTCAATTGTAGAAAACTTTATATATTTTCTGCAAATAGAAGGCACTCCTATTAAACCAGTAGCTTTCTCTAGAGTGTTTCTTTGTTATAAAAATAAATGTTCTAATAAAATAAATTTCTTATAAATAAAATGTAATTATTTTAGGTCTTTAAGTTATTTCTAGTCTCCCTTTTCCTTATCTGTAACCTATTGCCTCTTATTATATGCCTCTGCCTCAGTATATTCCTTTCATTTCCCCTGTTCTGCACTGGATCCTCTCGTTACCATAACCCAATAAAAGTTTTAATTTTCTTAGGG